GTGGAATTTGAACCCAGGGCTCTGTGAGGCCGAAGTCCACATTCTTGCCTGTGCATTCAGCTCGCTGCCTTCCAGAGTCCTGGCCGGCAAAGGTGACATCACTGATAGAGCTCTTTGCAAAACAAAAGTTCTTGAGGCAGGTGCACTATTGTGGCAGCAGGAGGAATGTTTGCTCCCCTATTGAATAGGGCCAGAAATAGCTTTCCTCTCAACCTCACGTGGTAGTTGTGGGAATCTCCTGGGAAAAACTTTGCGGAACAGTCAAGTGCTCTGAAGGGCTAGAACCACACCTTGGGGCCCCAGGGGCTGATGCCACCAAGAGTGGTGTGCGGTTAAGCGAGAACAGTTCTGTTAGACATGCATCTGTGGGATGCCTCTGGGTTGCAGCCCTCCTCCTCATTTCTGGGAAGGCTGCAAAGGAAGATGAAGGCCCCTGAGGGAGCTCACAGCCTAGAGAAGCACCAAGGTATGGGAGGCGTGTGTCTGGGAGAAAGGGCCCCTACAGGCATCACCCCCCATTGTAAAATATTAATTTTAACCTGAATATCAAATCATGCAGTTGGGACTGTTGTGAGGCAGTCAGATGAAGTAAGAGGACCTCAAGCTCCATCAGTGACTTGACCTGACTTTCCGTCCTGGCTCTCTTCACCTCACTGAGCATCTCCTCTCAGCTGTAAGAACGGAGCAAACAGTTGTTATTGTGCAGAGTAGTGAATCTAGAAAGAGCATGAAAAGTGCCCTCCTGCGATACGAGTATCTCATTTCACACAGGCAGAAGCCACGTCTCGTAGAGGTAGGGGATGTGCTCCACGGAGGTCAGGAGCCAAAGAGATCCAAAAATTAAATGGAGTGGAAGGGCCTGGTGTGTCCCTAACCCTCTAAAATCGGGGCATGGGAAGAGCTCCTTTTCAGCCCTCCCATTTTCCCGAGGGGAGGAAATAACTAGTCAGCAGCTAGTTAGTGTGGCTGAACGACGCTTTCTTGCACTTCCTTCACATGCCGTCATCCGTGTGACAGGGACAGCTGTGCATGCAGAAAAACAGGGCCGGACCCACATGTGAGTCCAGCAAAGGCCATTTCTGGCCTAGTCCTTTCTCCTCTGGGCTTAGTCTCTCCACAAGAAGAGTCGAGGGACTAAGCCCATTTTCAACCAAGCAGTGAGGAGGGCTGAGGAATGGATTCCTCCCTCCGGGGCCAAGAGGACCCTGTGTGCTCCTGTGACTCTGGGTGGTGAATGGGTGGGCGGCTCCGGATGGATAGGAACTCTGTTCTGGTGCCTGGTCTCCTGGGGCCCAGCCAGGCCAGCTTTTGCAGAGGTTGTCCTTGGAAGGGAAACATGAGCCCAGTTAATTTTTCATCACCATAAGTACAAAGTTCAAGAGAGGTGGGATGGGGCCGGAGGCAGCGACTCTGTTTCCCAGTCCTATCAGGAATTGCTTCGCAAATGGACTTGCCAAAGGGTTCTCATGTATTTGGAGTGGGTCCCAGGTAGAACACTGGAGAGAAACAAACACATGACTTCAATTCTGATTATTTTTTTCCATTAGCTAAAGGGTGTTTAATCAACAAGTGGCAAATCTAGAAAGAACTTTAAAATTGTCCCGTCTTCATGTTACACAGATGTAAAGTGACATCTGGTGAAGGGAGGTGATTGGCAGTAGGGATCTAAGTCAGAGTCGAGGCAGGACTAGAACTCTCATCGGAGTGGCCTCCCCTGAGAGAGCGCCTTGGTCTGTGGCTCTGTGCAGCCCCTTACACATGGGAACCCACCCATGGCACCAGACAGAGCTGGGTTCAATTTCCAGCTGGTTCAGCTTTCAGCTCTGTGACTTTGGGCAAGTCTCTTACCTCTCTGTATGTCAGTTTCCTCTTCCATAAAATGGAAATAATACACCTACCTCTGAGGTTTGCTGGAAGAAATCCAATAACCCATGTTAAGAGCTTGCTACAAACACACAGTACGCTCCACACACAGTATGGATATGGCTGGTGCTTAGCACAGAGTACTCTGCACAAATTAGAAGCATCGAGTTCTGTGTACACAAAGCAAATGGATGGATCTTAAAAACAGTTCCAAGTGCAAATAGCAACACTGAGGATGAGATAAGTAACATAATGGTACTTATGCAGAAAATTCCATACACACAAAACAACTGTGGACATTTTTTTTTTAAGATTTCATTTATTTGACAGAGAGAGACACAGCGAGAGAGGGAACACAAGCAGGGGGAGTGGGAGAGGGAGAAGCAGGCCTCCTGCCGAGCAGGGAGCCTGAAGCGGGGCTCAATCCCAGGACCCCAGGATCATGACCTGAGCCGTAGGCAGACGCTTAATGACTAAGCCACCCAGGTGCCCCATTTTGAAAGATGTCTTAAAAAGATACACATTGCACCACTTCACACTCATTAGTATGGATATTATTTTTAAAAAAGAAACAGAAAATAGCAAGTGTTGGAGTAGATGTGGAGGAACTGGAACCCTTGTGCATTGCTGACAGGAATGTAAAATGCGGCAGCCACTGTGGTGAACAGTATGCTAGTTCCCAAAAACAAAAACAACAAACAACTACACAAAGAATTACCATTTGATCAAGCAATTCCACTTCTAGGTTTACACTCAAAAGAAGCAAA